AAAAAAAAAAAAAACACTTGGTTATCTTTCAACAATATCAAATATTTTATCCCTTGAACTTCCGAAAAAACAGTTTTGACCTACACGTCGAGATATTTATTTTCATCCGTGATTTTCATGTCATATTATAGGAAGTTGTTCCCTTGAGGAAGATATGCCGCCGGCCTGAAACTAACTACAGGTTGCGGCAACTTCACGCCACGTCAGAAAATGTAAATTCACAAAAAACAGGCGAAACTACACAAAAGCAGCCGCTCAAGCCCGAGGAACTCGTTCCTATCAGCAGATGAAAATATTAACTCAGAAAAAAATTCTTCGCTCCCGGAAAATACGATTTTCGGATAAAATCTCGATTATTATACGAAGAGAAATAAGTTTTGCCCACATTTTTATCACCTCATGACTGTTTTAATCTCCAAAATTGGCTTTATATGAATAATATGAAGTTTTGTGATTGAGTGCCTCCCTTTTGATTCTTCCTTTTATTTTGATCGTTTTCGGAATGAATCCATGGCCATGTGTTGGCTCATATGATGTAATGAGGATTTGCTGGTGGATAATCAACTAAGATAGTTAGATATATTGGTCGAAAACATATCACAGAGTCTAATTTGAAATTGGAAAATGTAATTTTGATAATTGATGTCCATTTTGAAATTTATGGGACCAAGAAAGTTCAAAATCCTATTTGTATGTGAATACTTCTTTTCTCCATCATGAACATAAGACCTATATTAATCGGACTTGCCGGACGGGTTCTGTTTTCCGGCCACCACCACAATTTTCACCATCGTTCGACAACTTCTGCAAGTTTTCTTCAAAATCGAGCGCCTCTTGATTCCTTTTTGTTGTGCTTTTTTAATAAAAAAAAAATCATGTTTTTTGAATAGATTTCGATTAATTTCCTATCACTTTTTTAATCAAATTTCCAGCCGGAAGTTATAATGCATAAAATTGTGTACTATAAATTGCATTTTATTAAAAGAATATGCTGCAAAGTCATAAACATGACTAGTACATGTTTAAAAATATAATTTCCACTTATTATTATTTTTATTATTCAAAGTATAGAAAAAGAATTATACAAACACGAATTGTACGTGATCTCAAGTCGCTAGGATTGAAAATATAGTTTTCTTTATGTAATTTTCTAATCTTTAATGTATCCCGATTCGTAAATAATTAATACCAATAGCTCGTTTGAGTTCCTATCGTTATACCAACAGCTAAGTTTGATAAGGACTCGAGTTCAACTCATTTAATATCAGTAGTTCGATTTGCTGAAGGCTCGAGTTTAAGAAGCTCGAGATCGGCTTATTCTAATTAAGAATCTTGCGCTCGGTTGAGTCTAGTTAGACTATGTTTGATAAAGTAGCTGAGCTAACTTATAGCTTATAACTTATGACTTATTACCTGAAAAATTAGCTTGTACGATAAAAATATTTGATAAAATTAATTGATAAACTAGCTGAAATAAAAATTCCAACAAATTTATTTGAAAATTTATCCAAAAAAGTTTATCAAATAAGCTCGAGATTTTAAAAAAAAAAATCGACTATCAAAACGATCTTATTTGAATATAAGGAGCTTATAAAGTAATAGATAAAGTATAAACTAACTTTTGTTTACCAAACATCCGTATCCCCAATCCATAATCAGATTTAATTATTACCAATTAAAGAGAAAAAAGAAGAAATATATGACAATTGACAACCTCCAAAGTCGGGGAGTTTGAAGCTGCAAGAATGTCCACGACGCCACAAACCCTTTTGTGCGGATAGCAACGCCGACACGTCGTCACTCTCCTCTTGAATTCGCACTGCCACTCTACTTATTCCGATCGAATCAAGCAAAGTTTGCCATAGCCGAATCCATTTGATGAAGCTCAATCAGTGATAATCCTCAAGCATGCGGTGGCTGTTGAGGAGGTGTGGCCAGTCGGCGGTGATCGGGAATGGATCGAGCAATTCGTTTTCTCCGTCAAGGTTAGAGTTTAGCGAGGTGAGGAGGAGTTTGGTGACGAGCTGCAGAGCAGTGTTACTGCCGCGGTTCGGGGGGCCGGAGGCGCTGGAGCTCAGGGACGACGTCGGCGTACCTGATCTCAAGCCTAACGAGGTCCTCGTGCGGGCTCGGGCCGTCTCGGTCAATCCGTTGGACTGCAGGGTAGGTCTTCTATTTGGTTCTTTTATTGATTTTGTGGTAGTTTCTCCAATCTGAGTATTGAAAATTAGCCTTTTTGTGGTTTTATGGGGGCGTTTCTCAGTTGTGAATAGCTTGTAATGAAATTGGTTTTCTAGCTAATATATTCAGTGATAGATGAATTAGATCACAGCTAAAGTGAATATGGTAAACCGAATGTTTCAGTGACAATTGTTTGGGGATTATCGTCTATATTCCTGATTGTACGATATTGAAGAAAGCTGTTGTTTTTACAACAAGAGTTCGATCAAGAACTGTTGTTCAGCTTTGGGTATCAATGAAGATACCTCAGGAGGCTTCGATTGACGATAAAAAGCAACATTGTTTTTTAATAAAAATATTTTCCGTAGAAAAATGCCAATTGTTAGATCAAGACTAGAAGTTCCATCCTCGGCTGGGTTGAATCTTTGTGGTGACTAAAGGTCATGTATGACTTAGCACTAAGTTATCTACATTTAGAGGTTAAAAGGGAATAAATTATCTAGACTTGCAACATAAAGGTGGATTTCTTGGCAATAGACATGATCCAGTAGTTTATTTATTTGTATTTCATGCATCCAATCTGCTTCATTTTAATGAAAATATCATTAGCTTGATGAATAAAATTCCCGGACTAGAAAATAAAGATTTATTGAGACACTATGGGAGTTTATGTACATACATCAGATATTGATTCTTTGATCACCCTGATAGCTGTTTCGTTTTTGATTTGGTCAAGGTGATGAAGGTCAGTGTGTGGAATGCTGGAATGCAGTGATCCAGTTTTATCACAAAATTGTTGAGTGTCTTGTTTTATGAGAATAGCCTACAACTTCCCTAGATACCCACCCTAAATTGATAAGTTCTTTATGAGTCAAATATGTCTAATCTTGCTCCATGTTTGACTTGATATATAACTTCAAATTGTGTAAATCTTTTCTCTGACCCCTTCCAATAAGATGTCATGAAAGTGTAATTTTTTCAGTCATCATCATGTAAGCTCATTGTTTCCAGATGCGCGAAGGATATGGCCGTTCACTGTTCGAACCACTTTTGCCATTGATATTAGGCCGTGATGTTAGTGGTGAAGTTGCAGCTGTTGGAAGTTCTGTGCGTTCTCTCAGCATTGGCCAAGAAGTATTTGGTGCATTGCATCCTACTGCCGTGAGGGGTACTTATGTGGACTATGCAATTCTCGCAGAAGATGAACTTGTTCGAAAGCCAGAATCAATTTCGCATGTGGTAGGCATAAGTAGTGCATCTATTCATGGAAAATTCAACATTTCCTAAGTTCACATTTTTTGCCTGTTTTTATCTCTTTTGAGACATTTCATGTAATTGGTAACTTGCTAGGAAGCATCATATATCAACATCTGTAAGAAAAGAAGTGCAGAACTCTCATACTTCTCCCAGGCTGCCTTATATTTTTTTCTTCCTTCATATGGATGCACTTTGCACTTGTGTTCCAAGATTTTACATTTGTTCGGCTTTGCATTTTTCCACCGTAGAAACTTCTAGTACTTAGTATGAGTAGTTGACTCCGTTTTGTATGTTCAACAGGAAGCAAGTGCTATCCCGTTTGCTGCCTTGACTGCTTGGCGTGCTCTGAGAAGCACAGCAGATATAAAAGAGGGGTATGTCATATGTAAATTATATCTCTTCATGGAACCTTCAATTCTTCATCACGAATTGCACATCTTTTAAATTAACTAGTGTCTCAAATAATGGAAACAAAACTCTTGATATGTTAGAAGCCTCAACATATGCTCTGATGTTTATAATGCAATTTTCACCTAGAAATCAATCAATTTGCTTTTGCTTGAGATGCTGCCTTAGATTGGTTATCAGTGTCAGTTAAGATACTCTATCCGTGAACTAATATTATGTTCTTTTTACCTTAGTCTGAATGAAATGCGAAAGACTGACATGGTAGATTCTAAAAAAGAACATCTGTTGTATATTTGAAATGCTTGCTTGCTCTTATGTTCAATTTGTTTTGGAGGTTCAACAAGAAATGTACATGCTCTGCATTTTATATGCACTACCAGTATATCTCTTTCCAAAACACTATCATCAATTTCCCTTACAAACTACTTAAAGCTTTAAGTTGCATTTGCACACAGCCACACATAAGTTATTAAATGTTCTTGTTTGATTGTAGTTTCTATTATGCTAATTTAATGTTACATTCTAGAAATTAAATATTGTTATGTTACTTTCTTTTCGAATTTGCTAAGGTGATCACATTTTCACAGTCAAAGAGTGTTGGTGTTGGGTGGAGGTGGAGCTGTAGGCTTTTCAGCAATTCAGCTTGCTGTTGCCTATGGATGTAATGTCTGTACAACCTGTGGAAGTGAAAGTATTAGCCGTATGTTAGCAGCTGGTGCCGAGCAGGCTGTTGATTATGCAACTGAGGTTATTATTTGATGTGCATTCGTATTGCCTACTTATCTCTGTCTAGTAATGTTCTTTACTTCTCTCCC